CCCCTGGGGGCAGCAGCCCCCCCCAGCTGCGCCCGGCTGCCCACCAGCAGCTCACGCTGGCGGCAAGTCCCCACTACCTTGTTAATCTCCTTGTGTCTCTCCTTGCTGACGATCTCTTCCAGTACCTCGCCGTCTCCCTTGATCAGCCTGGAAGACAAGCACAGGGCCACGAGCCATGAGGGCCAGGTCCTTCCAGCCACGCTGGTTCCCAGCCACAGAAGGGGCTGCTGTTGTGCCCCAGCTCAGGGACGCAGCCACCAGCTCCCTCACGGTGCCCAGGGCTGGGTGCCGGGCTGAGGCACCTCTAGGCAAGGCCAGTGACGACCCACCCTGACACTGCATTAGGAGACTTTGCGGGGGGGGGCATATCGAGCTTAAAAAGCTTAAAAGGGCTTTTCCCTTGCTCTTGTGGGGTTAATGTCACTGCACCACAGGAAGGACAGGTGGGGGTCCCCTGAGAAATCAGCATCCCCCTGCATGGGCCAGCTGTCCCTGCAGCTCCTGCCACCCCACCATCTGCAGAGGCTTTGCTGTCAACAGCAGTGGCCCCCTCCCCATCCCTGCACACCCCCTTCCTTTCCTCCCACAGGGTTCAGGTCTGGTCTCGGCTGCCCCAGGGAACTGCAGGGCCATTCAGAAACAGGAGCCAGTCTGGGCCTGAAAGGCAGCCAGACCGGGCAGCGTCTTGCCGAGCAAATTCCTAGCAGCGTCGGAGGCGGCTCACACCTCCGAACACGAACAGAAATTTAATTGTCTTCATTACGTGCCTTACAGGGAACCGACCTTTGTTCCACACCTCCCTGAGCCCCGCAGGCTGCCTTCTATTTTAAGACTGGACGTGTCATACCCAATTCTCTTCGGCATGATGTTTTCTGCTTGCTGAGAGGATGCAGTTTATTAAAAAACTGGGTCATTTCTATTTGGCAGCTAAATGAGCTTCGGTCTGATTGCTGTCGGTAACCCCGAGGGGCACACACGCACCCCCCTCCTCGCTTGCACCCGGGTGCTAGTGCCTGTGTGCTTTGGCACTGAAAGGCCACTGCACGACGCAGCGGGGTGAGGAGGTGTCAGTCACCCCTCTGGTCCCTGCTCTGCCCTGGGTGCAGAGTCCCGTTTACCGGGGACAAGCTGAACTCGTCACAGCACAAGGAACAAACCTCCTGCCTCCAGCAGCAGGGTGCTCTGGTGTCTGCACCCCACAGCTCCTGGCTGGGACGCAGCCCGGTGCCCCTCGCGTGGAGCCCCAGCACAACTCCATACTTTGGTGTCAAACGTGTCACTTTCTGGGTAAGTTACACCGGGTCTGACGGGAGGGGGCTGCGAGGGATCGGCTCGAGCCTTTGCTGCTGAAGGGGTCCTTTGTCCACACGTGGTACTGCAGTGCCGGGGACAGGCAGCCTCTGGGGCTCTGACCCACGCACCGCGCATGCGGACGGACCACCCTCCTCCCTTCTCCCCAGGGATCATACCTGGTCCTCCCCGTTTCCGGATCCACGACTCTCCTTATGACGCTCTGCCTCGCGTCCCATTCCTCCTTCGTCATTGGCTTCATCGCCTGGATTCGGGATTTTTGCTCATCTGTCAAAACTGGAACGCGTCAGTTAGTCAGAGCCGCGCTCGCGGGGCCGGCTCCGGGCCGAGGGGCACCGCGCCGCGCTGCGGCGAACAGACACGCATGCCGCAGAGGCTTCCCGGCCGACTCGGGGTTCAGCGATGAACCACGCCAAGGAAGGGCCGCTTCACGTCCCAAAGCCAGTACCAGCTTTGCCGCTGTGTTACTGCTGGCTGCGTCCTTCCAGCTGGCATCTTCGCTCCCCACTCACATCTGTGAACTACATCTGAACTCGTCACAAATTAATCTCTGAATGTGGCTCCTTACGTTTACTTGGCCTGGCTCGAAGCTGGCCACAGTACGTCAGAGGGAGGAGAGCCTGCGGCTCACAGAATCACAGAATGTTTGGGGTTGGCAGGGCCCTCTGTGGGTCACCCAGCCCAACCCCCTGCCGAAGCAGGGTCACCCAGAGCCTCCCTGGGCAGCCTGGGCCAGGGCTCCGTCACCCTAAGAGGGAAGAAGTTCTTCCTCATGTTCAGCTGGAACTTCCTCTGCTTCAGTTTGTGCCTGTTGCCCCTTGTCCTGTCGCTGGGCACCACTGGAAAGAGTCTGGCCCCGTCCTCCTGACACCCACCCTGCAGATATTTATAAGCATTTCTAAGGTCCCCTCTCAGCCTTCTCTTCTCCAGGCTGAACAAGCCCAGCTCCCCCAGCCCTTCCTCACAGGAGAGATGCTCCAGTCCCTTCATCATCTTTGTAGCTCCCCCCTGTATGCAGCCCTGATTCCCTCAGGCACCTCTCAGGGGTCCCAGGAAGGGCAACGTGCAAGCATCCTTCCCCAGCGTGCTGCTCGCTCATGTGCCCTGGCTTCAGAGGGAGGGAAAGGCCATCGTTACCTGGTCCAGAGTCCACCAGCGACTCCTTCTGCCACTGCTCCAGCGAGGGGCCGGGCACCGCATCTCCCTTGGCTTTCTCCTCCTTAGCCTTTTCCTTTGATTTCTTTTTTGATTTCTTCTTTATTCTCTTCTTCTTCTTCTTCTTCTTTTTTTTGTCTTTCTGTTTTGCCTGCTTTTTTTTGCCATGATGACTCTTCTTTGTTTTGGAGTCATTGTCACTGGAGTCATCAGAGGAGCTGGAGGAAGACGAAGAGGAGCTGGTGGATGAAGATGCTGTCTCAGAGGAAGAGGTACTTGCCTTCCTCTTCTTTTTCTCCTTTCCTTCCTTCTTCTTTTCTGCAATACGTAAGAAGAGGTTGAGTGGAGCAGCTCTGGCCCCATGGCAGCGGGGACGCTGGTTATCCCCCTCCCAGCCCGGTTCCTTTCCTGCCTGAACAGCAAAGCCCCCAAACGCCGGGGCACAGGCCCCTCTGCCCCAGCACCTCTGCCCCGCCCCCGCGTGCGGTGCCACCCTGCCAGAGCAGCTCGCGGAGGGGCTGGGGGGCTCCGCGCTTGTCAGGACGAGACCAAAATGGGCACACAGCACATGGCAAGGTGACAGACACCTTTTAGCTAAAAGCAGGGACCCTCTTCTCCCACCTGGGCACCCTCTGTGCACCAGCCCCAGGAAAACAAGGGGAAAGCGCGGAGTCGTGGGCTTTTCCCCTACCTCCCGTAGCTGCTGCCGAGCTCGACTTGTGTCTGTGCGACCCCGAGGTCCGCTTCCGCGGAGGAGAGCTGCTGCCCTGCTGCGAGTCCTTGCTGCTTTTCCTCTTTTTCTTCTCCTTCTTCTCCTGTCCGCTCCGAGAGTGGCTTTTGCTCCTGCTTCGCTATCGCTTCCGAGACTGGCTGTGGGCCATCGCGCGTCAGTCCCTGGAGGGAACGGGCTGCACCAGTGCCACGGGGCAGAGCACCCTCGCTCAGCGGCGACGCCATCGGCAGGCCCCAAAACACCAAAACCCAACCCG